AAGCGATAACAGCTGTTAGATAATATAAGAAATTGAAAAGTGGTAACGTAATTTTCAAAACGTTACCACATTTAAAAAGTATACAATTCTCGTATGTGGAATGAAAAGACTTTGCATTTTGCATTTTTCAGAAATTGAAAAGTGCAAAGTGAAAAGTTGCAAAGTGTATTGGTGGAACAGGCCCCAGGGCCATTAAGTTCGAGCGTTCCAATAATGACATTTGCGATGTAACGACCTGCAGAATCGGTCGTCTCATCGATCGAAACCCAGAATTTCTTTACCAAATATAAAACTTCTAATTTTCACTAAAGTGTCTTCATAAATGTCATTCACATAACCTTTACGAAGTGTAGTTTAATTTGGAATTTCTTTCGAAGTATATTTTTCCAAAAATGACTTAAAATTATGATTATTTAATTTATTTAATGGAATGTTAACGATAACAAAGCATCAAATAAATCTTTATTAAAAGAAGACTTTTTTGTGTTACTTAAAAGTTGTTGAGTTTTTTGTAAATCAAATTTATTTTTACTTTGTTTTCGTTTAATAGCTGCCTTATGTTTAGCTGTGTCGATGTGTTGTTGAACGTTGAATTTTCTATCACTTCCAACTTTTGAATCGCACAATTTACAATACAATATTTTGCCATCAGTTGAAAATAATGGACTATTACATTCACTAAATTCCGACACATAACTATTTAAACAAGAAGCCAATGATTATTTTTCTTCTGGCATATTTGATAAAAATAAATAAATATTACTAAAAAAATTGAAAGAGACGAAATAATTATTCGACGAAAATATTTCACGCAATGTGCACAATATTACCAGTACGCGACGAAATATGATGGATAACTGAAGTTCACTACCTATACGCGTTTGGCTACGTTCGACGGTGACTGTTCGATTCGATTTTTTCACGTATAGAATTTAATCGAATACGAGACGGCAATTCACACAGGCACAATATTCGATTCGATTTTTTTACGTAGGTACGGGTTTTGATGCAAAGATATACACTGTAAACGTTTGGTACATTGAAAATTCTGGGTACATCCTCTTTTAGAGAATGGTCCATGAAGTGAAAAACGTTTTGAAAAATTTTACTTAAACCTGACTAGAGAACAAAAATTTTATAATTATTTTCGTATGTTGATGGCTAATTTTGACAATCTGTTATCAAGACTAGAAAAGGATTCTACTATGTTGAAATACTATCGCCTTCCATTTTAAAGAGCTTAATAATAATAATAAAAATATGCGTTAAATATACGACTGAACGGATGAACGTAATGAACGAATTCGATGGCATTTTGTTCGTGTGAACGACACAATACGTAGTATGTCCGATAAATAAGCGAACTGGTTATCTACAGTATATGGTGGGTCAAAGTACGACATCGTACTATTCTGAGCACACTTTACAAGAACTGATAATGCGAAAATTACCGGCCCATCGTTAAAATATAATACAAACAGCACACGTGTAGTTTTAGTATTTAGTTTTTTTTCTTGTGTCGAAATGGAGATTGACGGATTAACTGAACATAGAGTGGTCATTAAATTTTTAGTGAAACTTGGAAAAACTTTGGTACAAATTCATGAAATGTTAAGTACTGTCTATGGAGATAAAGCTTTGAAGAAAACAGCTCTTTTTAATTGGATTAAGCATTTACAAGAGGGCCGCGGCATTATTTTGAAGAATGCAAAGACGATGCAAGACCAGGACGTCCTTCAACCACTTGTGACGACAAAAACATAGAACGTGTGCAGTCTCTTGCGCTTTTTGATCGAAGGATAACTGTCTGGATGTTGGCTGATATGCTGAGTATCGGAAAATCATTCATGCACACAATTTTGACGGAAAATTTAGGACTAAAAAAATTATGTGCAAAAATTGTCCCAAAGCTTCTGACACCGGATCAAAAGTTGAGGCGAAAAGAGTGCTGCATTGACCGGAAAAATTCGACGCACAAACCTAATTTCTTGAATGGATTATCACTGGTGACGAGTTGTGGTTTTATGACTACGATCTTGAACTTAAAACCCAAAGTATAGAGTGGAAGTAAAAAAATGAGCCCCAAACGAAAAAATGTCGTAAAAGCAGAAGCAAAAATCAAAGTTATGTTAATTGTTTTTTTGACTACCGTGGTATCGTGCATCATGAATATCTTCCTGAAGGGCAATCTGTAAATGCTATTTTCTATGTGGAAGTTCTCAAGCGCTTACGAGATCGTGTACGGCGTGTACGACCAAATTTGATAAAAGAGAACGGGTGAATTCTGCATCATGACAATGCGCCTGCTCATTCGTCTCTGCTGGTCCGTGAGTTCCTGGCTCGAAATTCGATCACAACTCTTGATCACACCCATATTCTCCCGATTTAGCCCCCTGTGATTTTTTTTTGTTCTCAAAATGTAAAATAGTCATGAGTCATGAGGGGGCAGCATAGGAACGATGTAGAAACCATAAAGCGCGAAACGACAAGACAGCTGAGAAGCTTAACTTCTTAGGACTTTGAGGGATGTTTTGATCAATGGAAACGAAGATGGGATAAATGCATTGCTATGGACGGAGAGTATTTTGAATTATAATAAAATTGATTTATAATAAATTATGATAAATAAAGATTTTATTCTTAAAGTTCACGTATTTATTTGACATACTACGTATAAAGACAAGCGCTACTTTATCACGTATACGACAAAAATACATTCGAGATTTATCGAATCTTATACTACGTTTACATGCATCCATTAATTCGTATTAATTTGATTCGTATTGAATCAATTCGAATTAGGTCACAAGTATACATACTATAGTAATACCGTATTAGGATAATACACTTCCACCAAACCAGTTTACGTGGCAACGTTTACATGCACAGTTTAAACCGATTTACCTTAATATTCGAATTAATAATTTCATTTTTTCCCTCCAATTTATTCAGTGATATTCTATTGATAACAATTATGTGATAATATTATTATAATTTAATATTTATTATTAATAGTTATTAGTTAAAGACGTTAAAGTAAAACATTTTTAGAACTTTGTTTTATTGTTTAATGTGTAGAATTTTGTAAAATTCTATGAAGTATGTCTTCTTCTAACTATTTACAATTGTTACAAATGATGGAATTACTACGAATGAATTTAAAACAACAAAATAAAAGACGTAACAAACTGAGACGCTTAGTTATAAAAAAGCGAAGGGACTTTTCAACTGTTTTAAATATGTCAGAGTTCCTATATTTTGAATGATCCAAATGACTTAAAATATGTTTTTCTTTAAATATATCCAGCATACATAAAACGGTTGATTCGGGCCAGTTAGTGCGAGTTTTCTTAATTATTTGATTCATGATGTATACTGTATAGTAATAATATATTATAATAAGTACAGTACCTATATTAAGTAGTTTATAATTTAGTACTTACGAGTTCTTTAATTTGACTTGAATTTAAATTGACTGCCTACTTAATCCCTCACTAATTAATAAATATTATCACAGATACAGAATAATCAATAAATTAATGAAAATTATCATTTATTATAACCACGAAGATTATAACCAAGGTGGATCTATATATATAATCTATATATAGATCCACCTTGATTATAAATTTAATAATTGATAACGTGTATTATACCTTATCACAACAAATTACCGCAATCCTGATTCGGTTGTTGTAGTATCATCCGTTTATATGCATTTTGAACTCCCGTAGTTATTTCCAATGCGCATTTCAAATGTAAATTAACTAAACCGTTTTAGGTAAACCGAATTGGTATAAAACTGAATTAACAGTCGTTTACATGCATTTAACTCCAGGAGTTAACTAATTCGAATTGAGTTAAATCGGTTTTAACTGTGCATGTAACCGCGGTATTAGTGACAAGTTCATACGATATACGGGAAAAAATATTTCGCGAATACGGAATTTTCCCACGTGGGCTTCGTGTGAACGTACAAATATAACATTCGCTGCCACTGCTCTTTTCAATAAAATCCCGTATACGGTATACGAGAAAAATATCGTCGTCTGAACGTAGCCTTTCGGTTTTATCGATCTAATCGGTATATTTTATCGGTCAGATAGTAAATTACTTAACCGACAGTAAAAATATTAATTTGAAATGGAAAATTTACCACTTTGTTCTTTTTTGTTTAAGCTAATTCAAGAACTTATTTCGAAAATTGCCAAATATGTTCTTAATTTTTCTAATATACTCAAATATGCATTTATATGCAATAATGACAAAATATGCAAAAATATGCAAAGTAAAATTTTTAATTTGATCTCCTGGTGTTATGAAATACATTTGTTAATCACTAGAATTTTTCTAAGATCTTTTTAAAAAAATATGAAAAAACTAGAAGTCCTCAGCCCTAGTAATAACTAACAATTTACTGTAGTAAAGTAGTAACAACTAAGAACTAACAAATAATCTGTATTTCTTACCAATTGAGAAGCCCTATGACTTTATTTAAAAATTTGGTTTCGAGCCATTGTCTTGATAACTAATTTTACTAATTCGATAATTTCCATAGATATTATTCAGTATTTCGTTCAAAAAATTCCCATTATTTTGATCGATTGACCTCCCGATTATTACAGTATCTCGTATCTCGATTATTAATATTTCTATTGAACATTTCAAATGATTATTTCAAGACATCTCTCGCTTACTAGTACTTCGATTATTGAAATTATTCGATTATGCCGATCACTACTAACAAGTAAAATATAAACAGTAAATATTATGGCATCGCAAAATAAATACGGAACAGCAACACATACACAGCCCCCTCCCGAAACGTATGTTTCAATCGTCTCCTCTCGGCCAGGATTGTGTGTACCACCCAATAGTCAACGTTCAATCGTATTTCGAGATTTAACCCACTCTGTCTCTTATTTTTTTTCGATACTGTAACTATGATTTTTTTTCTCATTGATTTTCAACCGGGCATCTTCAAGACTTGTGTTCAATACCTGATGCCGGAAAAGAGTGGGTCCGCATCTTTCTTCGGGACATAAACTTCGACAATGCGAATTCGATCGACGCCGATGTGCATTACGGTCATTAATGCACTTGTGTTGGCAACTATTGAACACGCGTAATCGTCGCCCGCGTCATCTGGTCATGTACATTTTCTGATTAACGTTCAAACGAGTGAGTCGTACGCGATGATTACTTCGATAATAATTGAAGAGTTAGGATTAGTGCTGCGATACGCGACGACGGTGTTGTATTATTAGCCTATATTGATGGTACGCGATAACAATTCGAATGAATGAAATGTCAAATGGAGGACAAATCACGTTTCAATGCACTTTATAAATGTAAATAAGTGTGTTAGATCGCGCGTGCGGTCCCTCAACGTACACACAGTACCCCGAGCGCGATATTATGTAAATACTTGAATTATTAATGGTAGTCATCAATACATTCTGATGATATCGTAGCCGGTTAATAATTTATCACGGCACGACTATTGAACGGTACGATATTACAGTGATAATTATCACGCGTACGTACAACTGTTGCATTGTTTAAAGTTTAAAAACATACATAATATGTCGTGCGTCCATGTTGGAAAGTAAAAAAACGAGGAAAACTGCCGCGTAACGATTGACGGATTCTACGTTCAACGAAAATAAACGGAACGCGAGATAATAAAATAATATTATCAATGGTGTTTTACTATGTTAATAATAAATAATAATGAAGGATAATTACGGCAGTTAAAATTTTCCACGCGGTACCGCACACAAATCATATTTCAATTATTATCGGAGAGAAATTGACCATTACTCGCGTGTTTGCGTTATCAATCAGAATTCTTCGAAAGAAGCGTTCCAACGCCAACTACGTGTACGTACTCACTGCGCGTACGTGTGCAATATCGTGGTGCGCTCGAATAGCCACGTGTCCGACATGAGAAACGACAACTCGTGAAAACCCGTCCGTGACACCCGCCACCGCTGACGTACCGTGGTATTGAGATACTACTCTCTATAATGGTGTTTACGGTCCGATACGACTGTACAGTTAACTCATAGATTTGTATTCATAACTATGCACGAAACGAATGCGTGTACTACTACTGTTACTGCATTATTGAATACGATAACAATATATTCAATATATATTGTGTGTTGTTGAAATAATTATCGCAATTTCATCCGTCGCAAACAACGACCGACGGAACGGTTGGCTTGGCAACACTGGCGCGGTGTGCTTCGATGAGCGTACGAAAAAATACGTCGACCGCACGCTCTTCCCCCCGTTGTGCGCCGCGTGCTTGCGTAGTACTGCGTACGCGATGGCTGATGAATGACGGGAGCGGTGGCGACGGCACGAACGTCGTCATCGGCAGTTGTGCAAGTGGGAGTCGGATGCGGTCGCCGAGTAATAGGTATTAGCGGGCGGGGAGCGGGGAGGAGACGTCTGGTACGTTCAGTGAAGTTAGTACTATGCAGATAACGTGGTGTAGCGGAAAAAAAACTTATATAATATATATATATATATATATGTATTGTTAAAAAACAACAATACGTCGTATACGGTAGTACGGTACATGTACACGGCGGCATGTTGTAGTACGCGGGCGCGCGCGTTTTTTGAAAAATTGAGAGAGCGAGGATGGAGTGAGAGAGAGAACGAAAAACCCGTACGTTAACGTGTATAAAACGTTGCGTTACTGGTACGCGCGTGCGTGCATTAGTAGCGGCGAAAACGCGCGGGGGGGCGAAAGAGCGCGCGCGCTACGGACGTACGGGTACGCGCGCAGCGGTTGTGATGGTCGAGCGCGGAGTCGCGGGGTAACGTCGCGTGCGCATGCGCACATCAGTCTGCGATCTGAGTTGGTCAGAAAATGGCGTCAGTCAAGTTTCTGGAGGAAGTACTCAGTAAGGACGTGGACGAAAACGCGTTCAGTGCAATCGTGGTGTCGTTGGAAAGCGAGCTCGTCACCAACAGCACCAATACATCGGTTGTATCTGCCGGCAAAAGGAGTCACCCACTGACTGGTCACATCAGCAATGCAATCGCAGCTACCACGGCCGCGCCGCAAAAACAACAGCAGCACTTGGTCAACGGCACCCGGGCCGCCTCCTCGATGAACAAGTGCATATCCGCCTCCGTAACTTCCAACAATAACAACAGTTTAATGCCGGGTATAAGTCAACCAGATTTTGTTGGCCAACAACAACACCAGCACCAGCAACACCAGCAGCAGCAGCAGCAACAGCAACAGCATGTCGTCAACCCTACGTTGGCGCACAACTATGCAGCACCGCAACCCATAAAACTTCAAGATCAGGTCAAAGTGGTCTATTCCAATTCGGCCAATAACCGTAATTACGTTCCGGTTAACTCTCTGCCAAACGGCACTATCAATTCTACCAGTACAGGTTAGAGTTTGAAGAAAGTCAATTGTTGTCTGTGCACTTAAATTTAATATTAATCATTCAGATTCAGTGTTAAATCTTAAAATGTCAATTATCTACTTAATTTTAGTCAAATACTTGAAAATAACAGCTCAAAAATGTTGAATTTTAATTGTGTAGGTTATTCACAGTACCAAGTAGGACATCAACAACAAATTCAGATGTATAACCATTTTTGCTTACTTTATATAGAGTTTTTAAGAATTTTTATTATTTTTCACGTAACCTGTTGGTTTGAAATGCTCTTTTGATATTGTGATTATTCATATTACCAGTGTCCAGTTAATTATTGGGTAGTCTATGACCTAATTAAGATAAACCCACCTATGAAATAAAAAATAATTCACAATTTCTGATACATGAATAGTTTAGAAACAGGTATTCCATTTTTGTTTTAGTTTTAATTTTTACAGTTTCACTCTTATCAAATATATGAATTGCAATATTATGTATACAACTGTAATCAAGTTTTGGTAACTCACTATCTAAATCTGATTTTAATTGAGTTAAAATATACCTAAATAATTTTATCATTTCAATAGTTAGTATTTTTCATTATTTTAGTACTTATTTGAAATTTATTAATGTCTTAAGTAAATTTTAAACTTTTTTTCCAGAAGTTCAATAAATAAATAAAATATTTTTTGTTTTTTTTTATATTCATTGCTGAATTACAATTGTAACCTTAGGAACTATTGGAATTTTCTTCAAAAAATTATTTTATTTTATATTTTTAATGTGATTTTTTTATAGGTACTGGAACGGCTGTTGTTATTAAATCAACTACTCATCAACAGCAACAAAGTTCACCTCCAGTTTCTACTATGACTTTAACTGGACAAGTATCGTCCAATCAATCTCCAGTTACATCTAATGTCATAACTGTTTCTAAACAGGTAGCACAAGGTGTAGTTTCTGGTAATTCTCCTCAAACAATTTTGCCAGCAAATGTGCAAATACTGAATGTAAATGCATTAAGACCACAAAATTCACAAGGTGGAGTTAACAAAAATATGTCTCGAGTAATGATACCTCAAGTTGTTGGTGGTCGTCCCGGTGCACCAGGGGTAAGTTGAGATTAAAGAAAAATATTAGATAAATATATATCTAATACTGCTTGTTGTTAATTATAAACCTCATATACAAATTAAAAGTTTGACAATATATATTTCATTAAAAATTGTACATGCATTTATCTTCAAGAATTGTGCACAATATTACCAAATTATACATATTATCTAATGATTTATTTTTATATCGATTATATAATTAATGTTTTATAATGATTATTTTAGCTTACATTACAAACTCTTCAACAAGCTCAAGGTGGACACATATTATTAAAGACTGAAAATGGCCAGTATCAGTTATTACGAGTTGGCCCTGCACCTGGCCAAGGAACTGCTATAACTCAAAATAATGCAAACTTTAGAGTACAATCTGTTCCTGCAGTTGCAACTGTAAGTTCATACTAAACAATTATTTTAATGTTCTTAAATTAAATTAATTATTAAAAGATTCTTTTTCTTATAAAATATTAAAACTTCTTATTTTTATAGATAAGTATCAAACTTTTTATTTTTTAATACGCTATATACTTTTTAAATTGAAATATTATTTTAAATGGTTTTCATTAGTAATATAAGTTATATATTTGTTAACTTTATAAGTTTTTCTAACCTGTTACATACTACAGTTAAGTACCTGTTTATTAAAAATTTTAGTAAAGTTAATTTGTGACCTTATTGTAATGCCAAATTTTAATTAATATTGTAGTTTTGATTAGTATATAACAAGTTTAATTCATTTTTTAAGTTGATTAATTAGTATTTATATAGTTTTTAATTAAACAATTATTTAAATTAATTAACTTATTACTTTAGTTTACATTATAACATAACAAAATTATTTACTTTTCATATAAATGATTTATTATTCAGTTCAATCAGGCATTAATATTTACAAAATAAAAATATAAACTGGTCTTTCTAACTTATTTTTTAAATGGTTTGCTATAAATACTTTAGAACAAGTCTTAAATGAACTTATAGAGAAATTTATAAGTGCGTATAAAATTGAATGAAGGAATACAATTTCAGAGCAATGTTTCTATTGCTGGTACACCAACAACAACACCAACTCAAACAATAGTTCAACCTCAACAGGTATAGTTATTAAATTATATAATTAACCATTAAATTTAATTATTAAATATTTATTTTAAAGGCACATCAAAAAGTTCAACAAGATAACACCAAAGAAAAGTGCCGGAAATTTTTAGCCAATTTGCTTGAATTGTCAAGTAAAGAACCAAAACCTGTTGAAAGAAGTGTACGTACTCTTATACAAGAACTAGTTGATGCTAAGGTGGAGCCAGAGCAATTTTGTGATCGACTAGAAAAACTTTTAAATGCTTCACCACAGCCGTGCCTTATTGGTTTCCTCAAGGTATTAATATTCAAAAAAATACAAATATTTAATTGACATTTACTTTTAATTAAATATTGATGTTAAATTAAAAAAAAAAATAATTTTTGCCTACAGAAAAGCTTACCACTCTTGAGGCAATCACTTATGCTTAAAGAAATGGTGATTGACGGCATTCGACCACCATTACTTAGTGCTGTAACCCAACCCACTGTTGTTTTAGCTAATCAACAGCAAACAACGGTAAAAATTATTTAATTATTTGTTTTGTTTTATATATTTAAGATTGGTTTTTGTTAATTTTTATAAATTTCCATATGAAAAAAATAATGTATTCATATATATTATTTTATAAAATATAGTATTATGTTAAAATTGATTACATATTATAAACTTTATACTGTAGATTTAAAAAGTATAAATTATAATTATTAAAAATAATAAAATTAAATTCTTTTATAAAAAAACTTTAATGTATTTTTATCATATTTCGTTTTGTAAAATGTACTTATTAGTATTCTCAGTTATCCACACAGTTGTTTTACTAAAAAAAAATTATAGGATTCATGAAAAAAAATTTTGTTATTTTTTTTATAAATCCATATATGAAAATATTTTAATTATTACTAATTATTTCCATAAATTTCCTTTATTCCAGTTTTTACACATCACATTAAAACTATGAAGTACATTTTTATTTGAATTTAACATTAAAATATTATTTTTTGTTTTTCATTTAATTTTTTATTATATTTAATTTTTCTGTAGTATCAAATTATATAGTTCTTAGTAGTATATTAGTTTTGTATTTAGATGGTGCTTAATTAATAACTTTATTATCCATAGGTAATCCATACATAACAACTAATTCGTAACATAATATTAAATAAAATTTGATATTTTAAAATAATTTTTAATCTTAAATGTGGAATGCCACTTAAATGCCATTTATAATTGATAAAACAATGTAACTCAAAATATTGGTGAAAAAAAGATTTTTTTTTTTTAATATTCAGTAATTATTATGATATAGTGATACTATTATTTTTTTACTTAAATAAATAAGTACTTATACATTATTTAACTCATAATGTTTTTTCTAAAAGAAGTATCTTTTCAATAAAGCTTTAGGTATAAAATATTTTACAAATTTTGAATGTTAGGAGTGAACTTCAATGTTTTTAAAGTAAGTTATAGATTTAAATTAATAATACTCTCAGTAAAAGAATTTTGATAATCAAACGTCAAATATATTAGTATCATTTATGTTTATTATAATATGTTATTTAACTAAAACCCAGATATGAAGTAAAATGTTGGAAATATTGTAAATAAGATGGTCAAAAATTATACATTTGAATGAAGTATTTACCTAATTTTGTCCAACTTATATGAAAGTAATCATACTTGTCATTTTTTTTTAGTATTTATAATTGGTATAATAATAATGTGGACTGTATGTAGATTTTATTTTATTTCATAAATAAAATATAAAGACTACATGAAAGTATGGAAATCTTAAAAATAAATTAAATGTAAACTTTTATGTTTCTATAATATTATTTCCTTTATTTGTTTTATTTTTTATTTATAATTTCAATTTATAATTTAGCTCAACTAAATGTTGAGGATAATTAAAATATTTCTTAATTTGTAAACCAAATGTATAGTAAATTAATAAATGGCTATAAAAAAAATATATATAACTGATTTGAGGAAGGATAATTATTTGTGGACCCAAGTTTCTCTTTTTCCTGCCTCCTATTTATGTATATATAACTTATTTCTGATGTGTTTAATCATTATTGTATTATAAATATTGGAGTAATTACCTTTACCATTTGTTATATAAAATCCAAATAATTATGTGATCATAGGAATAAGCTCTGATCATTGTATATTAATTAGAACTTAATACTTCATAAAACTAAAGTGACTGTTTCGAATAGTATTATATAACCTATTATTATATATCTATTTTAATGTGTAAATAATTGTTCATAAAATTGTTAAAAGATTTATTATTTGCAAGAAATATAATTTTTGTTATAATAAATAGTTCATAACTGTCTTTTGCTGTCCATATAATATTTAACAATTCAGTATGTATTATTTAATGTATTATTTTAATCAACAATTAATTTTTGTTAGAATACACAAGTTATGGGAAATATCATAAATGCTGCATCAAATCAACAAACAGTTAGAATAATGACTACCCAACAACCAACCTTGACATCAGCAAGGTCTAATAATATGCAACATCAACATAGGATTGTTTCTGTAAGTTAATTCTATTGTATGAACAGTTTACCTATTATAATCTTTATTTTATTGAAAAGGCAAATATTTTTTGATTTTGTTGAATTTATAAATGTTATTTAGTTATCAGTTACTTAGATGAAATATGTATATGATTTAAATTATAGATTTATTCTTTATATTTTAAATTATTGAATTTGACTTTGCAGCAACAAGTCAGGGTACAAACTCCAACAGGCTTAACGGCTGTTAACAAAATGGGTTCAATTCGGATACAACCACCTGTTGCATCTCAAACTGGTACTCTTCCTCCACCACTTACATCAACCTCATCACCAAGACCCATGAGTGGTAGTCGACAAATGCTTGTTAAAGCAGTACCTATTAAGACACCTACTGGATCACATATAAAAATTAATACTACTTTAGCGTCTTCAACAGTGCAAACAAGTAGTATAACAATGCCTCAACCTCGAATACCACCATCACCAAACTTGATAAGTCAGCCAACAATGATAAACAAAGTTCTAACACCCATTACTAGTGTACCTTCAACAATTGTTGTTCCACCTAAACCTCCTTTGAAAGAAAAAGAAAAGAAATCGTTTTCATCATCAGCAGCATATGTGTAAGTTTAATTACTAAATGTTTGTGGTAATGTTATAATTTCAATTTATGTTAATTGTCAACATTTTTGTCTTCATTAGTGGAGACGATGACATAAATGATGTTGCTGCTATGGGTGGAGTTAACTTAGCTGAAGAAACCCAAAGAATATTAGGATCTACTGAATTTGTTGGAACACAAATTAGATCATGTAAAGATGAAATACTTTTACCTCAAAATCCATTAGTAGCAAAAATTAAGCAAATAGGTAATTTATAGTAAATTTTTTTTGTTTTTTCTTCCACTTAGTACAATACTTTAATGAATTATTATTATTGTATTGATCATAATCTTTAAATTGTTCAACCTTCAACTTAGTTTTAGTTTAAAATATTTATATATTTTTTCCATAAGTAAAACCCTAGATAATTGATATATATATATATATATATATAAAACAAATAAAAAGTGGTCTATTTCCTCTCTAAATTAAAGTAATAGTTTTAATATAAATGTTTAAGTGTTAATTTCGTTTTTATTTAAATATTCATGACTTACCTGCATTGGGACCTAAGATATTTCATCTATTATTCAAAAAATCTGCGTATAGTCCGTTCCAAAAGAGGCAACAAAGCGGTAACCAGTTTTCGTTAGGCGGTGCGTATCCCCCACCCGCGACTATTGTGTGCCACATTTTAATTATTGTGTTTACATCGTCTGCAATGATGAGAAATAGACTTCGTAATGTTCACTGTGTGAAACAAAGCCAGGTGGAAGAGGAAAAATGCGCAGAAAACCTGTCTTCTCTTTTGGAACGGAGTATATAGACTACAAATATTTGCACTATGTTTTAATACCAATATTTTAATTTTTACTGTTATATATTCTAATATTTATACAAATATACATAATGCGACATTATTTTATTCTACCTTATCAGTTAAATGTTTACTTAATGTATGCATGTCTAGTTTTATAATAATTCACTATTGTTTATTAAAAGATATTTTTGATTTTTTCTGTTATGTATAGAAAATTTACAAAACTCATAATATTAATTAATTTTTAATATTTAAATTAACTGATTATGATATTTATGTACAAGAAAATTTACTATTATTTTTAACTGATATTTTGATACTTTTATTTTAAATGAAGAGGATAGTAGTTTTAAATTATTTTATAGCATGATTAATATTTTTTATTATATTTATATATATATAAATTATGCATATCATTTTTTTTGTAGTCAATAGGGAAGGTTTAGAAGATGCTGCTGCTGATGTTCCAGCATTAGTATCTCATGCACTTGCTGAACGTTTAAAAGACCTTTTAGAAAAATTTGCTGTTGTTGCTGAGCATCGTTTAGATTTTAACAAAGTAATACTTCCATAAATAGCTAATTTATCACTGTTAATATTTTTAAAAAAATAATTTTTGTTAAGGCGGATAAGCGTTATGAAATTACCAGAAATGTTCGAGGTCAAATCAAATGTCTTGAAGAAATTGATAAGGTCGAGCGTAAAAAACAAGATGAAATGGAACGTGAACTCTTGATACGAGCAGCTAAAAGTAGATCTAAAAATGAAGATCCAGAACAAGCAAAATTAAAAGCTAAAGCCAAAGAGGTATTTTTAATGAGGATAATTTTATTGATAAGTACATGGTAACTATATTTTCATTTTTAGATGCAAAGGGTTGAAATGGAAGAACTACGACAAAGAGAAGCTAATCTCACTGCTTTAAATGCAATAGGACCTAGGAAAAAACCTAAATTAGAACCTGGATTAAGTCCTAGTTTACAGGTTAGCTATATATTTGAAACTAAAATAATGGTTAAAATGTTAAGTCTCATATTTTTAAATATAAAAGTTTTTTTATATTATTGGCATTTAAAACTTAATTATTCAACTTTTATTTGATAATTTCCACAATAGTAAGTTTAAATAGAATTATTTTATGGAAATTAATTATTTGACCAGTGTATTTTTCATAGATACCAAAAGTAATATTTATCATAATTATATATTGTACATTGTTATTATAATTTAAAACTAAATACATTAAAAAGTGGGTTTGACTTAAAACACTAGCTTTCTAACCATAATGAAATTTTTTCAAATAATTTAATCAATAACAAAAGTGCTTTTCAGTCACATAAATAAAAACTTATTTCTATATATTTATTTATTAACAAATCCAAAATAATTAATTGTTTTTATTTTATTTTCAGAACCAAAATTCTAGTATTAGTACAAACTTAACAAATAGACAAACAGTAAGTACCTTATAATAATTTATTAAACAGTTTTTTCATTAAAAAATTTCTTTGTTTCAACAGATACCTAGACAAAGGATAAAACGTGTTACAATGCGAGATACCCTTTTTGTACTTGAACAAGAAAAGGATATTCGTAGAAAGTCAAATTTCATGTTCAAACCATTTTTGAAATGATATATCGTAAAATTGTCATTGTAGCCGTTCCTTGTTGAAGCAGCTGGCTAGTCATATTGACTATGTTTTCTGCCACATTGTCGAACTAATTCAAATCATTATTGAATACCATTTTAGACTTATTTAATCATCTGCAAAATTGTTAATTTTTGTTGTATAATTATTTTTTTCAATTTTCTGTTAATTTTATTTTTTTTTTGTTAATTGAAACATTATAACAAGATGGAGGTTATGGACCATGTTCATGTTAAACATAAATTGACTGCAGAGAAAAAACTTATGCGATGTATCAAATATGGCATTCATCAAGCCTATGTTAAAGATAATGTATTTTTTTATTGTAAATAACACTAATGTATTTTTTAGAGCATGTATGTTAAAAAAAAATATTTTGTTTATGTAAAAAAGAAGTTACTCATTCTTTTTCTGTAAGTTATGCCCTGATATAAGTGAGCACTCATTATATTATTTTGTATAATGTATATATTTTTTTATTATAATCAATAAAGTTAATAGGGTTCAGTGATTTTCACACAAAAAAAAAAAAAAACAAATTTTATTTCAATAATATGTTTTTTTCATTAAAATATTTTATTTTACCAATTATAAGCGTACAATTTGAAAATTGTTTACTAAACTAATCTTTAGTTCAGACAATTGTTTGCAAATAAGATTCAATTATTATGTGATTAATATGAAAGTAAGTAGATGTTTCGTATATTTAGTATGAATTATTAATTAACAATCGTATATTTAAATTGTTTGAAATTGGTTCTTTTAAATTATTTATTGCTAAAGGAAGACTAAATTACTGTAGGGTTGTAATTTATAATATTGGTAGTAGTTACTGATAATACAAATAATCAACAATAGTTGTCACCAGTGCTCGATTTAGCAAAATTAAAAAAGGGACTGTTTACTTTAAAAAAAGAACGTAACTAAAACTTGTTAAGCATTATAACTAGGGAACGGATTTATATGTAAATGCATATTTTTATTAAAACGAGATATTTAAGATACGATAAGAAATGTTCACGATTTAAATCATTCCTATTAATATGATTCTACTTTTATTTTACATATTTTTTCATTTCACGTCTTCTTCGTACGAAAATACAAGAAATTTCAAATTTAGATCCAGTAACTTCTATCGCTATTAGAAAAGCTCAAAATATTATGCAAAATGAAACATTGAAAACTAATTTAATTTTCATCTCGGTGAATTTTAGTTTTATTGCACATACATTTACAAAATTAGAAAAAAAATATGTCCTTAAATGATAGTATGCAAACTGTCGAATCAACGATTGAAAAATGAAAACTCGTAAGCAAATCAATAGGAGATGCTGTTACAGAAAAAAATTCCAGGCTATATTGATTTTAAATCAATCAATGACATAATGAGTGGCAGACACCCTTCTAAAAATTTAGAATTATCGCCTTCTGATATTATGTGCCTAAAATATGCTTCAATCAACCGATGTAGGCTGTGGAACGATCATTTAGCCGTTTTAAAAATATTTTCAAATCTAATAGGCGACATATAATATTTGATAATTTAAAAGATATTGTAATAATTCAATGCAACAAATCATTTTGATGATTTAATAATTATAATTTTTTTTTTTTTAATTAAATTTTTTTCCTACATATTTGGATGTTTTTAGCACATATATTATAAATTATACTTACATATATGTACATGTTTCTGTATTTTTATTACATATTAATCAACAATAATAGTATAGGGACGTTTAAATTTCTGAAAATTAGTTGTGGTACTACGTCAAGTAGAGGGTTTCGGGTCCGGACCCTCCATTGAAATTTCTACATACCTACTTAACGGTTTAATAGTAACTAGTATAATAATAGTATATAGTTTTTTTTTTATTTCCCATTATCTTCAATATACAAAGTTTATATGTTAGGTATATAATATACCTATAATGTATAAACCATACTATAGTATATTACAGTAATTTGTTGGTATTGAGTTAAACTATAATTATAATTAAAGAACAGATCAAATAAAAATGTTGGACCCCCACATAAAAAATTCCTGGGTACGCTCCTGTACTGCGCCCCTTCTCAATTTGAGCCTTGTTTGTCACTTATTACTTGAAATATGTCTTCAATATTTGTTCAACTAAGTTAAATTTTTTTTTGTTCTATTGTTCTTGTTTGATTTATGAATAGGTAATTTTGTATTGTTTTTTTTAACTAATATTAGTATCTTCAAAATAAAGTTTATTGAAACTGATAATAATTTCCAAGTTATTATCTCTCAAACATTGAAAAACTGTTTTTATTGATGAAATTAATGTTAATTTTCAGCCATTTCTGCATTTATTATAATATTAGATTCCAATTAAAACCCGATATACAGTCAACTCGCGATATAACGAATTTCAAGGGACCGAGCAAAAAGTACGTTATATCGAAATTCATTATATCATAAGCATAGATCAATAAAATTTGTTTAAACGATATTTAAAAGAAAATTTAAATTTTATTAGATTTTTTATAATAACATACCGACATACAATATTAGATTATTATTAAATATTTTATTAGATACATTCATACATTTTTGTTTATTACATACATACTTCTTTTTTTTTTTTAAAAAAAAATTAGTTTTTTTTTTTGTGTGTGTGTATCCATTTGCGCTTATATGATTAATAGTGATGTCCAAATTTAGAATATTACAAAATACATTGCCGTCAATATCATGTTTTTGTAAACAATTTAAAACGGCGCAACAACCTAATTTTGCTACACTCGAGCTTACGGGGGCTCTTCGTCACCAGTTTTATTCAAAATCTCATCATTATTGAAAACTTTACAGGTAGCCAAATCTTTGTGGATAGCAACAAATTTATGTTTATATTTAATAAAATTTACATTTAACAGACGTGTATCATATAAACGATGTATGAACATTTTATCTCATAATAATAGCCGAAATAAACTCGTAAGACGTGGAATATCAATCTTCAAAATTGTAAAAATTCGTTAGGTACATTGCGTGAACTTTAGCCAAAAAATCTTCGTTATATCAAGGGAACCAAAATACATTTAATTTTTCGTTATATCTCGAGATTTTCAAGGGTCCGACAGTTTTATACGTTTTATTGAGGTTTTTTGTTGTATCGAACTTCGTTAAACCGCGAGTTGACTGTAGGTATTTGGTTGTATTTGTGGCATATTTAGGTAATATTAAAAATTAAAAGCCATCATATAATAATGGGACCCTTTAAATACTTTGGGTGGGTCGTCCTAAGGCCGGACACATATTTGGGTGGATTAGGCACACTCTGGCTCTTCCTTAGTTACGTGCCTGATTTAATTGTAATTACTATAGATTATATGAATCTGAAAAAAAAAAAACAGGAGTACCACATTTGAACTTAGGGGTGCTAAAAACCAGTGGCGCACAAAGGATTTTTTTCAGGGAGAGGGGGGGGTGTCATGGTAAAAATATAACAAATTTTACAATTAATAAAATTATGCAAATCTTTAATACATTTTGACCTAAATAATAGCATTGATAATAGAATAGACTTTTCTAAAATTAATGATACTAGGTATTCAATACTAACTCTTCATATTTCAAACTTGTAAAATTTGTAAATTTTAACCTAGACATCGGAGAAAATTTCGGCCCCCCCCTTGCGTGCGCCACTGCTAAAAACCCTATTGCGTCTTCTAGTTGCGCATATGGGTAAGTCTTGAACAACTACTGAACTTACTACCAAATGAAAATTTCAATTTGTTTTTTCTGTTTTTTAGTCACCAAAACTATATCCGTAAGTTACTTCCCTTACATAGTAAGGTTGTTGGAAAAAACTAAAGATGAACATTTCAAATTCATAAAAAAAAATTTGATGTACCTAGTCATAAATGTATACGAGTACATTATATTAAACACAGGTAGTTCTATCTCTGTATTCCGTAACAGTGACTATATTATTTTCATTTCACTTTAGGAATTGAGTTTTTAAATTATTGTAAATGTCTAAAATTTAAACTTTTAATGCATTGTTTTTGTTATCTATTGTTTATTAAGTATATTATTAATAGTTAGGTAATACTTAATTTTCAGTTTTAAATTTAGTTTAATTCAATTTTAGTTGATTCTATATTTGTATTATTTATTTTATTTACATAAGTATATCGTATTATTTCGTGAATTGTTTTTATTATTATTTTTTTAACAAATTACATGAAACATAAACATAGGTGAACATAAGAAGTATAAATTATACCAGTGGTTTTCAAACTTTATTTGGGTCACGCATCCTCAAAAAAAAAAAAAATTATTTGTGTACCCAATAAAACTTTTTTCATTATTTAAATATAAGTTAACTATTGACAATCCAAAAATAAATATAAGGTAGTGAAATTTACAATATAAATATTTGGCTAGCACCTCCTAAAGGAGCGTGCCTAATACGGCCATTTAACAGACGGCAAGGAATAACGACTCGGAGCCGATACGGACTTGTTAACGTCCAGCAAGAGCAGATACGGTATCATCGGTTTTAGATATCTACCTACCCATTAATTTAATCAGTACGCTTTTTTAAGTACGGGTCATATCGTAAAATTTCTATTTGTCCGAAAATAAAATTAATAAATTAATAAATATTCATATTTTATTATAATTTTACTTTTTTTTTTATATGTTTATTTTATTTTAAAAAGTTATAACGAGCCACATATGGTCACGGGTTCGGTATCACTGATCTACAGGCTGCTCCTCGTCGCAATAACCACATAACTCTCGTTTTCCTTGAAAGTATGAAGTTCTTGGTTGACCTCTAATTATTTTTCCTAAGATCTTACCTTCAAAGATATTCCTTATATTTAATATACAGGCAGTTTTTTTGCCGAAATACAACCTATATATTAATGGCCAAGTACCTAGTAAATAAGTGTAAAAAACAGTTAGAGACGCAACACATTTAACAGTATTTCACTAACCTCTATGAAATATCAAATATTTAAGAGTTGTACATTTTGATTGATATTAGTTACGCATTGTTGAGTCTTAAACATTTTGATTTGTAGCTTATCTCTCTAATAAATTTGGCATTTCCATAAATTGATCTTAGTAATAAACTAAAATATAAGCTGTTATGCTTTTAACTGTTATTTTTGATGTTCTGATATGAATTCATACACATTTTAATTCTAACCATGACACTAGAGCAGAGATTCCCAACCTTTTTACTTAACGGCACACTTGATCATTTTAAAAATTTCCACAGCACACTTAAATAAATAATAATGAATATACATAATATCATAATTATATATAATGTACTATAAAATAATTATATTAATATAATATATATAATACAAATTTAATTTGACATTTGAGACTGGTGTTTTTTACATAATTCCTCTATTACGGGTGAAACAGTTGAAACGATACAAACTGTTAAAGGATAATCAATGTCACCATTCCACGTAAATCCAAAACATAAATAATTAT